CCCGCGTCTGTGTCCAGCACCACTCGGCTGTGTGTAGAGTTCAGCTGCCTACGTGGTTAGAGATGGGGGGGGGGCTGGGAGCCAGGACTCCTGGGTTCTCTCCTCGGCTCTGGGAGGGGAATGGGGGTTGGTAGTTAGAACGGGGGGGCTGGGAGCCAGGACTCCTGGGTTCTCTTCCCGGCTCTGGGAGGGGAGTGGGGGCTGGTGGTCAGAGCAGGGGGCTGGGCGCCAGGACTCCTGGGTTCTCTTCCCGGCTCTGGGAGGGGAGTGGGGGCTGGTGGTCAGAGCAGGGGGGCTGGGAGCCAGGACTCCTGGGTTCTCTTCCCGGCTCTGGGAGGGGAGTGGGGTCTAGTGGTCAGAGCAGGGGCTCATGCTGATTTGGGGGGGTGTCTCTGAGTGCTGCCGCCCGGCAGTGACTGACCCACCCCCACGTCTCCCCCCAGCGGAGAAGGCCGTGGCCTCGGAGCGGAAGGTTCTCAAGTTGTTGGAGCGCAGCGAGAGCCGGGGCAAGGGGGCCGGGACCCCAGGGCTTGAGCCCCCCGGAGTTTCTGTGACCGTGAACCCCCCTCCGGGGGAGGGGACCGATGCGGAGCTGGGTAAGAGGTGGGGGAGGGGCTGGGGGGAGGACATGGGGGGAGAAGGGACTGGACATATGGGGGGGGGTTGGGGAAAGGTCCAAGGGGGGAGGGGCTACAGCATTGCGGGGGTTGCTGTTGCCCCTCCCCAGCCCCCATCTCCTGCTCTCCCCACCTTTCCCCCACAGGGTCAGAGCCCCAGTGCCCCGTGGAGCAGGGGGAGGCCCCCCCCAGCGAGCAGCCCCCCGAGGACAGTGCTGAGAACGAGAGGTGAGTCCTGGGGGTACAGGGGGGGCCACCCTGAGGTGCCTCCCCCCCACACTCCATGCTCTGCAGTCCCCTCCCTGTCTGTCTATCTGTCCCCCTCTCTGCTCTTCACTCCTGCCCCTGCATGCCCCTCCCCCGGGGACCTCACTGGGGGGCCAACTCCCCCGAGTGGTGGGCGGGGTGGGGGGTTTGACCCTGCTCCTGCTCTCACTCGGCCCCTTGACTACCCCAGGAGCACCCCAGCTACTGCCCTGCCCCATTCATGGCCCCCCGGCTCTGGGAGGGGAATGGGGTCTGCTGGTTGGAGGCAGGGGGAGATGGGAGCCAGGACTCCTGGGTTCTCTCCCTGGTTTGGGGGGAGGGGAGTGGTGTCTAGTGGTTAGAGCAGGGGGCTGGGAGCCAGGACTCCTGGGTTCTCTCCCTGGTTTGGGGGGGAGGGGGGTCTAGTGGTTAGAGTGCCTCTGTGTGTATCGTGTTGGGGGGTCCCTTCTGGGCCAGGCAGCCCCCTCCCCCACAGTTAACGCTCCTCTTCTCCTGCTGTTTCTTCCTAGAAAATGGAAAAGGTCGGTGACCCCCCTGGAGCCCCCCAATTTGCATGTTTGTGGGGACAGGCTGGTTCCGCGGGGAAAATAATTTAGAGACACCCACGGGCTGAGCTAAGTACCCGGTTCTCATCCTGCCGGGCCCCCTAGCGCCCCCCAGCACCAGGGAGAGCGTCCCCCTACTGCCCCCCAGCACCAGGGACAGCGTCCCCCTACTGCCCTCCAGCACCCCCTAGCACCACACTGGGGCATTGGGCCAGCCCTGACTGGCGGGGAGAGCACCCCCTGCTGCGCCCCACAGCGCCCCCTAGCGCTGCATTGGGGTCAGCGCTAGCACCAGGGAGAGCACCACCCTACTGCCCCCCCCCAGCGCCGCTCTGGGGCATCAGGCGAGCCCTGACTGGCGGGGAGAGCACCCCCTCCTGAGCCCCCCGCAGCGCCCCCTAGTGCTGCATTGGGGTCAGCACTAGTGCCAGGGAGAACGCCCCCTACTGAGCCCCCCGCTCCCTGCAGCACGACCCCCTCCCGGAGCCTGGTGCATGGCTGTGGGGCCCTGGTCTGAAGCATGAACACCCCCCGCCCCCCCCATCTTCACACCTTGTGCCTGATCTTGTCTTCCAATCCTTGCTTCCCATTGGCTGTTCCATCCCCCCCTCGCTTCTCCCATTGGTCCATTTGTACCCTCTGTGGCTTCTCCTCCTCTGTGATTGGATGATTCTGCCTCCCATGGCTTGTTATGATGCCCCCCTTTGTGTCTGGTTGGTTTGTGGGTTCCCCCTCCCCTTTCATGGCCGGTCCCATCTGGGGCTCCCCTGTCCACGCCCCAACCCATCTCATGTCCCCCCGTCCGTGGCTGGTCCGGTCCATGTCCCCCCGTCCGTGGCTGGTCCGGCCCTGTCGCCCCGTCCATGGCTGGTCTGGTCCGTGTGTCGCCCCGTCCGTGGCTGGTCCGGTCCGTGTCCCCGTGTCTGTGGCTGGCCCGGTCCCTGTCGCCCCGTCCGTGGCTGGTCCGGTCCGTGTGTCATCCCGTCTGTGATTGGTCTGGTCCGTGTCCCCGCGTCCGTGGCTGGTCCGGTCTGCTCCGTGTCCCCGCGTCCGTGGCTGGTCCGGTCCGTGTCCCCCCGTCCGTGGCTGGTCCGGTCCGTGTCCCCCCGTCCGTGGCTGGTCCGGTCCGTGTCCCCCCGTCCGTGGCTGTCCGCGCCCACAGGCTGCCGGGGAGGCTGGGCCGATCGGAGAGCCTGCGTGTGACCGAGCGGAAGCGCTCGCAGCGCGGCTCGGCCAAGGGGAAGCAGCTGCGTTCCCGCAGCGACGTGGACCTTGAGGCGGCCGCCCGCGCCGGGGAGCTGCAGGAGAGACCCCCCCTGGGGCCGGGGCGCCCGAGGCCCGGCGGCGTCACGTAGGTGTCGGGGAGCCCCCAGCCCACGGATTCACCCTTTGCAAGCCAGCGGGGCGGGGGGCTGGGGCTAGGGGCGAAGTGGGGGGGAGCTGAGGGACTGGGGGGGGCCTTGGGGCGCAGCCCTCCCTGCTCTCACGCACCCTCTCCCCACAGCCCGGAGCCCGGGGGGGCCGGGGGAGGGGAGCCCCCGCAGTCCTTTCTGCTTCCCCAGTCTGAGGAGACTGAGCCGCGCGTTTCGGAGCTGGAGCCGGAGCCGCCGACCTGGCGCCAGCGGGTCCCCCCCGACACCCTCCTCAGGCTGAAGAAAGGCGAAGTCAAGCGGCAAGAGGTCATCAACGGTGGGTGGGGAGAGACCTCGGCCCCAGACTGCAACCCCTAGTCCCCAGCCCCCCGGCTCCCCCCTGACCCCCCGGTTCCGGCTCCCACCCGCCAACTCCCGCCCCCAGTCCCCCAAATCCCCCCAGATCCCCACAGCCCCCCAACTTCCCCCCACTCCCCGGCTCCTGCCCCCAGTCCCCCAGATCCCCCCAGCCCTCCAACTTCCCCCCACTCCCCGGCTCCTGCCCCCAACTCCTCCAGATCCCCCCAGCCCTCCAACTTCCCCCCACTCCCCGGCT